CAGCAACATTCACCATAACTGTAACCAGTTTGGCTGGAATAGTGAAATGCTTTCAAGTACTTCACACATCTTTTTCCAGCACTTCAAAACTCAAATATTATATAAATAAATATATGAAGAGTTCAGATGCAAAAGCCTCTAAGTGCCATTTTAAATTTTCTTCTAGAATGATCATTTTTATGAAGCTTGTATATTTCAGTAATTTCACTCAAATGACAATTAATAGGTAATCTTCATTGCCATTTAAGTGAAATTACTGAACTTAAATATACAAGCTTGATAAAAATAAAGAAAATTTCAAATGGCTTTTGTATCTGAACTTTTCATATATTTAAATGTTATTTTTAATGTGATGACCAAAACATTATTTGTTCATCCTTCAAAGATGACACCCATTTATAAACCTGAAAGTTTCAAGATGTAGGAAAACTCAACTTATTTAATTAATATTTTTTCTTTTAACAAATAGGAAATTTCTCTGGCATTTCTTACTTTTTGCTGTATCGAAAACGTACCGAACCGTGACTTTAAAACCGAGGTACGTACCGAACCGTGATTTTTGTGTACCGTTACACCCCTATTTCGAACACATTCAATCACATGAGCGTTTACACTACGAAAGCAATCCGGTCGAATGGGTTTTTGACTTCCTCTGGAAGTGGTTGAAAGTGGACAAGCTCAACATTTTAGACCCCGTACAAGACACTAACAACTTAATACCAGGTGTAAACAGGGCCTGTGATTGGCTATAATGCTCAATGCTGCCAAAAATAGACATTTTTGATGCTTTTTAGAGTGCAACAGTGGGCACTAGTCAATACTAGGGCTGTTTTCGACTAAGGATTTTCATAGTCGAATCTGATTCGTTAGATTTTGCCGTAGTCGACTGATAGTCGAACCTTTTTTTTTTTTTTTTTTTTTTTTTTTTTTAGATAGCAGCTAGACGTTCGGTTGAATAACTGTTCGTCTGTTATAGGACAACTCGCTCTACGTTTATTTAAAATGAACAGCAAGACAACTAGAGGTGAATGTGCTTTCCATTAAATGAATCCTTAACAACAACAAAAAAAACGTTGCAATGAACGTGCTTTGTTTTAAATAAATCACACACAGTAAACAAAACCTTAACAAAAAAACTTTGCAATGAACTTTGCAATTTAGACGCGCAAACTGCGAGCCGGTGCGGTGAGACGTAGCCTACATGCTCGGGCAGATTCGGCTTGAAGTCGTTCATCCTCGGATGCGGCGTCGCGCGCGCTGTTACAAAAAAAGCTGTGCACACAGCTAAAGGCCAATTTATACTTCTGCGTCGAGTGTACGCCGTAGTGTACGGCGTGGGCTACGCACGTAGGCGACGCCGTCATGAGCATTTATACTTCTGCGTTTAGGTCTGCGTTGCTCTGCAGTACAGCGCCGAAACGCTAGTTGGCGGCGGAGGGTTTTAATGTTCCACTGTGTTAAGATTCCTCGCGGCAAGAAGAAGAAGATTCCTCGCGGCTGTTTTGAGTTTAGGTTACTACAAGCAATGGCGACTGAAAGAGAGCAGATCATGTTGGAGTTGGAGCTTATCGAGGTGGAAAAGGTAAATTTTTAGTTTTTTTTAACAGTTTCGCTGTACTTAGAATTTAAAAATGGCGGGCGGTGCAGAAGAACACGCCGGAAATGCATAGGAGGAAACGCGATGCTACCAAGCCGACCAATCACAGATCTTGCGGTCCGCGTCGTCGCGACGTGTAGTTACATTTTTGAGGAGGTGCGCGTCAGGTTACGGCGAAGGGTACGGCGTATGGTACGCGTCTGTGCGTATGCTACGCCGTACCTACTGCGCGCACCCGACGCAGAAGTATAAATTGGCCTTAAGCGAAATGGGGTCTTGCCGGTCTTGCGCACCCAACGCGTCATTTTTTGCCGTGCGCACCTTCGCGCTCGTGCGGACGCGTCGAGTATAAACCATAGGTATAAACAAGGCTTTAGCCTACTCCGTGTCAGCGCGCGCTCTGATCGGTAAAGGTGCACAGACCTCTCCCGAATCATCTCCAGCAGTATAGCCTCTGAAGCACCACTAACTCCGCCTCCGTTTCCCTCGTAAGATGACATTAGTATTTAAACATTCTCTATGATAAAAAATGTTTGTAAAAAATATTTGAATAGCACGGTTTTGGCGGTTATAGAGTTCTAATGACTGTGTTCAACTATAACCGTCGGTCTCACAGTTATATAATAACCGTCACACCCCTATTGGTTACGTAACATAACACTTCCCTACTATTCGACTATGAGGTTCACAGTCGAATCAGACCTCTCCGAATCGAATCGTCGAATCCTCGACTATTAGAAGTCAGCCCTAGTCAATACTATCTGTATCTTGAGTCTGGTATTGTCACAATCGAACAATTCCAGTATCGACTTGGTACCAAAGTACCAGTGCTTTTCGCAACAGTTGTCTGCAACTTCAAGCAGAGAAAAACAGGAGTTCATGATACCCTTGAACTTCAAGAGATTTCTGTACACTGTCCAGACTCACAGCTAATCATAAGTTTTCAGATAAGACTTTTTACAGAGTTCCTGCTCATGTTAGAGTCTCTTTTGGTGGGCATGGAGCCAAAGCGTGGCTAACTCGCTGCTCATCAGTCCTGCCTGCTTTTCCCAATCGAGGCCTCCATTGTCAGAGCAGTTCCGATGGAAGCCATGTCTCCGTGTTTGTTTGGCCCCAGTGTGTTTGAAGCACAGCTCCTCCAGCTGCTCTTGGCTGTTTTGCTTTGGCTCAGAGAGCTGGAGAGTGGACAGATGTTTGTGTTTTTAATCCTTTTAAGTGGAGTGGATTTGAGGTTTAGGGAGGCCGCTTTGATCGTTTTTCCTGTTTGCTCTTCTGGTGCTGTTATGATTTTGATAGAGGGGAAATGAAAAATACAGAACAGGGCAAGAGAATGCAAAAGAGCAGCCGTGATGCGTTTCCCCTGTTGTAAAGTAGTGATGAAGACCAGACTTTAGACTCACATTATTTGTATTTTGTCTTTAAGAGTTGTTGCCATTTGTTTGCAGTTTGAATCTTTTCCATTTCTGGTACATTCCTCTGGAATTTCTTTTAGAAACTTTTTTTTTTTTACTTTTTATTTACAGATATTAAAATGCTGGCCAATACTGATAAACTGATCATTATTGTCATGGTATAACTGATATTACAATTCTGTACTGTTTTGTCTAAATAAATTGAACACCAAATGGTTTCAAATGCTGCACGATTTCTGTGCATCAAAACATGATGTACGGTACAATATGTAAAATTAATATTAATTAAGACTTCATCTTTAATACAATGATAAATATTACATTTAACAATGTTTAAAGTATTAACGTTAACCAAAAACGTTGCAAAAAAAAAGGGCAAATGAGCATGCATGAGCTCATTAGGATAAAGTTGGATATTAGAGATTTTATTTATTGGATATTTAACTATTGCATTTTAGATTATGGGGGCACTTCTGGTTTGGGGAAAAAGACTGAAAAAAAAAAAATCATTTCAAATCATAAGGTTGTGCTACAAATAATCCTTATCCATCAGTTTGACTTAATGACCTGTAAAATTTCCTTCATGTTCTATTTTTAGGGGTTAGGAGAATAAAGTTAACACGCCATTTTAATGTGATATGGTATAACAAGAATATCTATAGCAAGAGCTCTTTTTAGTCGCTGCACTTTTCCTCCTGATTCTTTTCTTTTTTCGCCTTTTTGTTTTTCCCTGTAACAGTATGAAAAAATACAAAATACACTCCACATTTGTGGTCTGTTCTCCCGATTTAATCTGATATATCCCATAAATAATTTACTGGAATGCACTAAGAAGCTCTAGTTTTTCTCCCCAAATCCTCACGTCTCTTTCCAGGTTTGTTTTCACACAGATGCTTTAAAATGTACTTGTCTACCCTTTTCACTACTAATCATATTAGCAGTGTTTACTGGAAATGTTTCTAAAGAAGGTAAATACAATATTTTGATTAAGGCAATGTATGTTACATACAGTTGTAATCGAAATTATTCAACCCCCATTGCAAATCAGGTTTATTTGCAAAATGTACAGTAATTGAAATAGCTCAACACAACAAATGTTTCAAGTGGTTTCCCCAAATTCAACTGAAAATGCAACTTTTAATGACTTCTGCAGTCTCAAAATTATTCGACCCCTTCATGGCAAGCATCTTTAGTACTTAGTAGAACACCATTTTGCTGTTATGACCTGCTGCAAACAAGATGTATAACCAGACACCAGCAGCCGTTTTCAATGTTGGTAATAATAATAAATGTTTCTTGAGCACCAAATCAGCATATTAGTGATTTCTGAAGGATCATGTGACACTGGAGTAATAGTTCATAATATTATAACATAATATTTTCACAATATTACTCTTAATTTGATTTATTCTCTAATTGAAGACTTTATTGTTTTTATGCCAGATAAATGCTGCTCTGTTTTAAAAAATAAGTTTAAAAAATCTGTTATATTATAATATAAATAATCCTCATAAATAGATGAATTGTAGTTTGTTAATGTATGGATTTCTTTTTCTGCTGAACACAAAAGAAGATCATTTGAAGAATGTCGGTAACCAAACAGTTGATGGGCCCCATTGACCTATATAATTTGGGAAAAAATATATATCTATGGAGGTCAATGTGGTCCATGAACTGCTGGGTTACCAACATTCTTCAAAATATCTTTTTTTGTGTGTGTGTGTTCAGCAGAAGAAAGAAATTCATACAGGTTTGGAACAACTTGAGGGTGAGTAAATGATAGAATTTGAATTTTTGGGTGAACTATCCCTTTAACTTGTTGTGGAGCTGTCAACTTTCACAAAAGGACTTTACCTACTTTTACTACTAGCTTGGCAAAAGTAGCCTTAAAAGTAGCTTCCCAAAATGTGTAATTTGTAAATAATAAAATGCTAATTCTAGGTTTAGAAATGGGTAAAACACAAAATGACTAAATCTTTGACCCTCTACAGACCCCGGATCCAGACCTGTCCTCAGCCAGCAGCGAGTCTTTGCCGGCGCTGGAGAGAAGGAACGGTCTGTCAGGAGTGAGTCTCAGCGCAGAACCCCCGTTTGAGGAAAACCTCCCTTGCATTGAGCTCATGGACAAAGCTTCCTTGACTGTGTGCCCCTTTGAGGGCAACTGGACCCCAGAGATGCCCCTGTCCTCACCGGATGTGTCAAGTCCGGTGGGGAAGAGGCCCAGGCGCAGCCCTCTCACCCCGAGCAGCTCCCGCCGGAGGACTGGGGAACGCTCCGTACCCAAACGCAACACCGGCAAGAGTCCCAAACGGACGCCCAGCGTCACAATACTGCAGCACCGTAAAGCAACCCTCTGCGTCTGCTAAACTCCTCCGTCAGACTGCACACACTTACACGGATGAGCGAAGATGGATGTTCAACCTACATCCTGGTCTCTGATATTCTGCATAGGCACAGGAATAAATAACTGCTATTGTTTTGACTGTGCCACAGTTTTTATTTGTAATGTATGTTTTTTTGTCTTTTTATTATTGTTTTTTTCCCTCCTTTTAATGATGTGAGGGTAAAAAATAAATCTCCCTTTTAGTGTTTGGATTTATAGTCATTTTATATGAAAAAAAAAAATTAGAATTCAGATCAGTCTCTAAGGAAAATTCTTTTAAAGGATGTTTTTAATCTTTTACCCTTTAAAATTAAACAGCAAATCCATCTTTTACATTTCATGAATTGCTTGTACAGATTTTCTGAAAATGACCAAATAATTGTAGACATACAATATATAATATTTTTATATTTGCTATATTTTTTTTCAAAATAACCAATTTTCTTGCCCCACAATCCCTGTGCACATTTGTCCATGCCGATATACTTTGTGCATTAAATGTTCACACCAGTATTCGATGTATTTGTTAGCATTACCCTGTCTTTCTAATTTTGAGTTACTGCATGAGTTGAAATTAAGATGTATTTCTGATCATTGGATTACAGAGCAATTGTTTTATTATTATTATTATTATTTTGATAAAACCTTTGTAAAGGGTGTGGATTGCATGTTCTGTTATATCCTTAGAAACTGGCTTTTTCTTGGGGCGTGTTTAATTTTTTGACTGTTGTATAATGGAATCTACATTTTCGTATGTATTTCGATATTGTAAGTTATTTAATATCAATAATGTCTGTTAATGAAAAGCAGATAACATCTTCCAACACCAGTTCCAGAGCTAATGTGATGTGTGGTTGTGAAGCTGATGTTGAGACCGAGGTGTTTGCCAAGAGTGTACAGCACATTTTTAGCGAGATGTTTTTTTGAAATGTTTGAGACTTTGTCTTTCGAAAGAGATTTTCCAGTAAACTGTCAGTGGATAAGAAGAAACATTTTCATAGTGTTGTTTATGAACTTCCACTATTTGCTAAAGTGACAGTTTTGGTTTGAGTACTTCATGTGGTGTTGCCTGAAGGACAGTTACAGTTTGATGGGTTTAAAGGAGCTGTATGTAAGATTGTGGCCAAAACTGGTACTGCAATCACTTTCAAATTACTGTAGAGCAGTGTATCCCCTCCCCCTCCCCCCTGACTCGAGGTTGCCAGATAGGCTGCTGGATCCAGCAGGAAAGTAGGCTGCTACAAGGAGCTTTCAACTAGAGCAGAGCTGGCAACCCGGATGCCGAAACACTACTGACTTCGTGATTGGTAGATAGGTGGAGGGTGGGGCTTCAGGCCAAAACACAAGATGACAACATCAACATCAGTTGAGGGCTGCAACTTCACTTTTTAAATGACAATATCGTGGCCGTACTATTGTTGTCAGTGATTTAAGTATTTGAAATGAACATGATTTATTAATGTCTAGAGACACATAAGGGCCATTTTATGATTAATTGAAATACATTTCTTACATACAGCTCCTTTAAATGCATAGGGAATTTATTAAAAACGAACACAAAAATCCAGTTATATTGTGGTTGCATATTTCAAAAACATCTGCAAGGGGCCTACATTATTTAAAAAAAACGGTAATACTTCACAATAAGGTCTCATTTGTTAACATTAATTAATGCAATTTGCTAACATGATCTAACAACGAGAGATATATATATATAATGCATTTATTAGTCTTTGTTAACATTAGAAAAATCCAATTGATCGTTGTTTGTTCATGTTAGTTCATAGTGCATTAGCAAATCAAATGTAACAAATACAGCTTTGGATTTTAAAAATGTGGAAGTAAATGTTGAAATTACCATATATTAAGATTAATAAATGCTGTAACATGACGTATTGTTCATGTTACCTAATATAGTTAGCAAAAGAAACCTTATACCAAAGGTGTTACCCCCCCAAAAAAGAGTCATATATATATATATATATATATATATATATATATATATGAGAGAAATAATATTGTTTTAATGAGATTCTTCATTTAAAAATTTGACAGATTTTGATTGTGAATTTTTTATTTATTTTTTATTCCCTGTTGAAAACGGTGAACATTTCGCATTTGTAAAAGCCTGTTATGGCCTGAGCAATAGCGGATGTTGGGTTTAATTGAGGTTATTCTCTTTTATTGTGCTTTTCTGAAATCCGTGGTCGTTATATCATAGATATCATATTGAACTGCTGCATCTCTCTCTGAAATGGTTTTGAATATTAGTGTATTGGATGCCGCCTTGTTCAGGGTTTGATCCCCCCCTGGAATTGCAATAAAGACACTCAGTTTGTGTTTAAGTATCGCTATTTTCCGTGTTAGATTTCTTGAGAAGCATCTAGTCACATGATTCCATGGACTTAACCAAGTCACAATACTAGTCAAATAGGTAGGTAGAGAAACGTTTAAAAGCAAACCCAATATGAGACCGTTGCAAATATTGTTTATTGACAATTTTTAAGTTTAGGCCTACTTATAAATGTATCTTTTAAGTATTTTTGTGTGTGTGCAAAAAAAAACTGGTGTGGCCGTGCTTTAATGTCACTGTGTTTTTCAACCGCTGGGTGGCGGTCAATACTAGCAGACTAGGCCGAAAGTCAAGTAATGTGAGCGTCCGTTCACCGCTGAATAGTTTTACTTGACATTTTCTAGAAGGCTAATCTCAGAGCATGAGTGATAGTGACACACACCTGACAGCAGCTAAACCCACACCCTCCATAATGGTGCTAAACTGACAAGGGAACACTTCTGATCTGCTGCTCCTCTTGAGTGAAGAGTGTGCGTGAGTGTGGATGTTTAACTATTCGTGGGGAAGAACATTGTTGAAAAATGTGCTACTTGACCGTTAACTACCTTTTGGAACGTCCTCAAATGTAAAACATAAATAGGCATTTATAGCATAACAAAATAATGTTTTTCCAAAAATATACAGCCTTGTGAAAAGAGTAGGTTTAGAATAAATGAGTCTTTAAATATAACTATAATTTTATAATATAAGGTAGGCTATATGCGTAGTGCGTACCCTATGTCCTTAAAGGGTCAAATTCTGAACACTTTTTATTTTCATCCATCTACCTATTCTCCAAACACAAAAGTGAATTAGCATTTTTCCTTTATCCGGAGGCTTATACATTTCACTTTTGGTGTGAAATGGAATTTACATTTTCCAAAAATAACTTGTTTTGTTATTAAAAAACAAACAAGCTAGCCAGCCCGGGTGAGAAAGAGTGTCGCAAAAGTAACGTAATGCATTACTTTCCATGACAAATTGCACAATTTAAAGGGAGTAACGCAATATTGTAATGCATAAGCCTAATTTTAAAAATTAAAAACACTGTAATTATTGAAGATTATAGTATTTCAAAAATTTTGATATTTAACGAAACCTGATAACACATTCCTTTGTAAGGACAACCTGGGGAATGGGAATTTTTTTTCCAAAAAATAAAATTGTTATTGATTGATTGTAATTATTAACTGTAATTAATTGGCAAAGTTTTCAGGAATAAAATAATATGTATTTATTAGTTTGTTTGTTTTATATCATTAACTTTAAAAAGTGTTGATATATAAAATAACATTTATTTATTTAAAAACATGGGCATCGTTTTAAGAGAATGAATAAAGTAAAAACAAAAATATATAGCCTAGCCTATTTTAAGTTTTCTTTTAGGGGTTTTGGTTAGGAATAGTCTATATTCTAATTCTCTTTATAAAATTGAATTGTTTAATATTTAGACTGTGGCCTATTGGTTGGTTGTGTTTGGTTTGATGTATAATCGCAGAAATTAAGTACTCTCCCACTGCGAGAGGAGCATCTGTGGACAATGATGCTGATGGTGCTGTGACAAGAAATGGAGTTCACATTACCAGTCTGTCATGATATTATGAGGAATTACATTGAGATAAAGTGTATGAATTGTGTGTGTGTGTCAGTGCTCTTAATATTTCACTATTCTAATGGTTATCAGATTTATATCAGCTGACCTGATGGACAATGGTGCAAAGTGAAGGGATTAACCCAGAAAGACAACCCCGCTTTGAAAAGTCCTTGTATCTGAACTCTGAAGCCAACATTACATTACAGTGCCTTGGGCCAAGAGATTGGTGTCACACCTGCCACTGCTACAATCTCTCTATGTATTAGTGCACTATACTGCTGCTATAAGCCTTCTTATTGTGCTTGCTAAGAGCTGTTATTATCATTAGAGAGTTTAGGACTCGGAGTGACAGGCTTAAAATGCCAGTTGAGAGAGCTCAACTGGTCATACCAGTGTCACGAAAATGTCTAATGGGTCAATGGCATGACACACATCTTTTCAGGATTTATTATTTTTATTCAAAAACACATTCAAAATGCAATTCATGCATGCAATTACTTAAAGAAACCTATGATGATATTTTTTTGCATCTCTAAAGTAAAATTTATTTATATATTTTTGGCAACATAAAGTAAAAAATATTAAGAAATTCAAAGTTTAAGTAAGCAGAACTGCCTTATTTTTATGTTATAATCATACATTTGAATTGCTCTTAACTTGAAATATTCTAGTAAGCTAATTCATTCATTTTACTTAAAATTATCATGCAATCTCAACTTTTAGTTGTGGAAAATTTGTCTAGCTTAAGCTAATCCATAACTTGCTAACTACTAACAAAATGCTTAAAGAATGCATAGAAACTCTTCAAAATTAGCATAGCAAAGCATAAAACACTACTAAATCTCCCACTTAACATAATAAACCAGTTGTATAACACTTCATTTTAACATTTGCTCTCCCTTTCGAGTGTCATGGCAAAGCATGGTGGGAAATAGAAATCCCAGCCCAGTTTCAGTTAAATTAAAGTTTGTCTAAATTAAAAGAAACAAGTTCACCAAACTCAAAACAATGAAACAATTCAGATTACTTAAAATGTGTGAGTTTTGTCAACACAAAAGCAAAATAAAGTTCTAAATACTCATAAAAGTTAATTTGATTGAATTTGTT